TACATATGAAATATGAGGCACCTGCTTGGATGGTTAAGGAGATATAATTTTAGGGGGTGTAATATACCAGGCGATTTGTATTAAAGTGAACCATCCAAATACGTGCTCCACGTTTGTGTAATTATTTCCTATTTGGAGATATAAAATTATATGGAAAACTGGGTTTTAAAATGTAAGTCTGTTTTACGACTCCCTGGAATGTCTTTTGAAGCTCAGTGAGGGCTCGGTTTAAGGCTTTACGACCCCTTCTCCAGCAAGAGTCTCGCAGACAGAGGGGCACCAGCTAGTTGTGGGATTTATAACCATGACGCCCTCCCAATGAGTTTGCTGCCTGTGATCTGCATCAAACAGACCACATGTCACTCAACAGAGAGGGAGGGGGGATGAGGAAAGCTGATTTGGGAATAGAAATGATACAAAATGGAATATTCTTAACAAGATGGATGACCGCGTCCATCTCAGTGTGCGCGATTGCTACACATGTGCCCAGGCAGGATGAAACAACTGCCATTTAATAGCTCCCTATTACTAAGTGAACCTGGAGAAATCAAATCACGCAGGTCTGCAAACTCCAAAGCAGGGCCAGTAGAGGAAGAATAGCCATGAAAGCAAAGCAAATGAGAACCAAGGGCTGCACTACCTCTAGTCACACAGCCTGGGGAAATTTGGTTAGAAGTCTGGGCAGGAGGATTTTACAAAGGAAGCTGGGAATGAAATAAACTAAAAGTACACTGGACATAATAAAATGTAATTACAAAACAAAAACTGCTAAAGTTCCATTTTTACTACAGTCAAATAAGTCAAAATCTTTGAAAAGCTTTTATTTGTATTTTTGTCTTGGGTGATCAGGTGACGTTGATGTCAAAATACATGAGTGATTTGTATATGAAAGCTCATAATACTTATTAAAGGCAGTCATAAAAAAAAAAAAAAAAAAAAATCAGACAATGAAACATTTTACATTGCATCTCTGTCACCAATCCCATTTAAACACCAACACCTGAAAGCACGGGTCATTGAAAACCATCACTGATCTCTATGACTGCAGCCATCATATGCTGTAGGTGAGATACTAATCATTGTACAGATCAGTGTAGTCTGCATGACTTAACACCTCGGTCACATCGAGTGTGACTTGGCATGCGAGTTGCATGCTATGCAAGTTGCAAATTGTATGCCAAGTTGCACCCTATTGTCTGCAATTACAGTGGTCAGATCAGTGCGGTTCTGACTTGGTTGGAGCTGCACCGATTTCTAAAGTAGTACATGTACTACTTTTGGTGCGATTCGCATAGACATCTGTGTCAGATGTCTTAAATTGCACCTGAAATCGGCATGTCCCCCGACTTTGAAATCGTGCTATATTACTGTAAGTCACATGATTTCAAAGTCGACCTTGATGTGACCGGGGGGTAAAGGGGTAGATTTACTAAAACTGGTGCTCACAGAATTTGGTGCAGTTGTAAACAGGTTTTATTGTCAAAGTTAAATTGAACAAGCTGACGCTAGAAGCCGATTAGTTACTGTTCACAGCTGCACCAGATTCTGTTTGTACCAGTTTTAGTAAATCTCCCCCAAATGTCATTAAACCCTGACTATGAAAAACTCTCATTACAAGTTATATAACAAACTGTGTATACTCACAAAGCCACTAAAGCATTTATTTTGTGTAGAGAGAGAAATATACCTGGCTGATCCTGCCTCCAGCTGTCCCACCCATCATCTCTATGTCCCCATTGCAGCCTGAGATTGTGAAGACCAGCTGGCTCCCTCTATTGAGCAGTCAATGACAATCCCCTCCCTGCTCCTCCATGTTCTCCTATTGCTAACTACTATGTGGGTGGGATATAGTACGCCGATTAATTACATTCACTAAGAAACTCACAAAAAACTTAGTAGAAATATAAACTAGTATTAAATATATCAACTATAATTGCCAATACCTGTAAAGTTAAAAAAAAAAAAAACCCTTGGATGCAGATGCTGCCTGAACAAAATGAAAGCTAGCATCAATCATCTTTGACTCGGATTACACAGTATTAACCGTTTCAATACCGTGTGATTTTACACCTTCCTGCCCAGGTCATTTTTCAGGTTTCAGCGCTCTCACACTTTGAATGACAATTGCGCGGTCATACAACACTGTACCCAAACTAAAATTTTATCATTTTCTTCACACAACTAGAGCTTTCTTTTGGTGGTATTTAATCACCGCTGGGGTTTTATTTTTTGCTAAATTAACAAAAAAAGACCAAAAATTTTGAAAAAAAAAAAACCACATTTTTTTTGTTTCTGTTTCTGTTATAAAAGTTTACAAATAAATAATTGTTCTTCATAAATTTAGGCCGAGATGTATTCTGCTACATGTCTTTGGTGAAAATAACCCAAATTAGGATGTATTTTTTAGTTTGTAGGAAAGTTATAGAATTCACAAACTATGGTATAGATCTGAATATTGAATATTGATCAATCCTGAAGTACTGACAGCCAATCTAATTTCTTGAGGTCCAAGAATGTCAGAATAGTACAGATATCCCCAAATGACCCCTTTTTGCAGAGTAGACAGTCCGACGTACTTCATAAGAGGCATGGCGAGTTTTTTGAAGTTGTATTTTTTTGTCATAATTTTTCGGAAAATGAAAAAATTAAAAAAATTATTTTCACTATTTTTTTTTTTTTTACATACTGTCACCAGTGCAGTACAGCGTCTTCATATAACTGGCATGGCGGTGAACATGGACACTGACTGGTGACAGTATGAAAAAAAAAAAATATATTTTTTTTTAATTTTTTTTTTATTTTTTTATTATATTTAATTTTTTATTACATTTTTTTAAAGATTTTTTTTTTCATATTTTACTATGACCAAAGTAGTACAATGTTACCATAGTAACATTGTACTACTTTGGGGGAGTGATCATTTTTTTTTTTTTTTTTTTTTTTTACACAGTTTGCTTATAGCAAAGAATTACTTTGCTATAAGAAGCATTTAGCTGAATGAAATCGATTCATTCAGCTTTTTTTTTTTTTTGTGCTTAGCTGTGATTTGGTCACAGCTAATCACATGACATGTGCATGTGACCTGCTGTGACCATTCACAGCTAGGCACTAGTATACAATGGATGGCATCATGAATGAAGCCATCCATTGTATACAACTATCATGTGACCTGCTGTGATTGGTCACAGCAGGTCACATGGTACCAGCTACGGGAGCCGGTACTCGGATCTGTCATCGGCCGTGTCCGAGGTGCACGGCCCGTGACAGATCCCGCTGCTGCGCCGCTCTGCTGTGCCGCAAACTGCGCATGTGCGGGAGCACGCCAAATGGCGTGCACCCGGAATTTAGGAGCGCATTTCAAGCCGCCAAACGGCCATTGGCCGGGCGGCTAATGGTTAATGCACAAAAATGCAAGTGATGTTCAATAAAGATTTATAGGAAGCTATAAAATTGCTTTTTGTGATCTTTTTGTGATATTTTTAATTTAGTTTGAATTGCTCTTTCGAAACGGATTTTTTTAGTCACCAATCAGGGCTATGCAGGCAGACTCATGTTGTAATAACAGAAGCCCCTCCCAAAGATCTTTCCCTGTAGATGCCAAACAACAGGGAGAGATTATGTGACCACACAACAGTGCTGCAGGAATAAGGTACTTAGAAGATTAAAAACAAAACAAAAAATGACAATACAGTGGCATCATATATATGATTTATGGCAGTTAACACTTCTCTGTTTAGTATCATTTTAAGGCTACTTTCATATTGCGGAGTTTTTGGAGGCGTTTTTGCATTAAGACAAGCTCAAGAAAAACGCTTCCCTAAGTATGTGAATCTATATCTATGTATGTTTTCACACTGAGGCATTGTGCGCTTGCGGTGCAATGTAAAAACTCCTGCTTGCAGCATCTTTGGGGCATGCTTGGGAAGTTAAAAAAAAAAAAAAAAAGAGCCCCAAAAAGGCCTCTTCCGATTGAAATCAATGGAAAACTCCTGAAAAGTGCCTTAAAAAATGCCTGAAAAGAGTTTTTTTGGTGTCCTTTAAAAACACTCAGAAAGCACGGCAAAGATGCCTATAAGTTTTTGCTGCGGATCAGTGTGAAAGTAGCCTTAGTGTTCCAAGCTGCTGCTCTGTGTGGACAAAGTTTTTGTGGAGCAAACAATTATATCCACAATGCTTACAATCTTTCATAATGTACTTCACCAAATATTTAGGGGAAGCCTTTAATCCAAGTGTTTTAACCAACTTTATTATCCAATAGATACACAAGTGTAAATATCCTTTAAAGTTACACAAAAAAATTTCATAAAAATATATCTTATGTAATTCTTAATAAATTAAAAAGATCATCATACAGTGCATATCAAACACTTACATTTTTAAAACAGTTGTCCACCACCTTGTGGTTAGATCTGGTAAATTCTGAAACATCTTGTTGCTTTAAACCACCCCAAGTTGTACTTGGCAACCCTTTGGGCATTCTGTAAACACACTTCTAAAGGTCTAGAAACATGGCACAGTGGTGGCCATCATGGTTTCAGTTAAACAACTGCTTAGTATATGTCGTAAACCTCCTCCAAGATTTTGATAAAAGTCAGACTAAGCTCTAGCAAGATAAGTAAGTAAAACTTAGTAGCAGTGAGGCACACTTGCTCTAAGTTGTTGAAAAGCTACTCGATGCCTATTTTTTCTATGGAGAGGATAAAATTCAAAACACAATTGAAATAATCTTTCAAAAACTGTAAAACATCTGTGGTTATAAAGTCCTAAATTTTACATTTTGTGGTGTTAGTGTGAGCAACTCCTTCAGCAATATATTAGCAATTTTTTAGATTAATGTCACTGGCAAACTTCTTCATTTGTCAGTTGTGATGGAAGGCCACTCTTCCAAAATAGCGGTTATGAATACAAAGGCTGACTTCTCTATATGTCTTAAAACCAAGCATTTAATTGTGGTAAGATACTGAAGTCTATAGTGAACAAGCATTAGTGTATGGTTTCTCTTATTCTAGCTTCTCATCTCCTTCTTCTACATCTTTCAAGCTCAGAACTTCCAAGGTGCCTTTTCCTTTGGTCTCACATCGTATCAGCTCATCAATTTCCCGAAAGCAGCCTGGATCAATCAAGCACACCTAAGTGAGTAAAACAGCATATTTTAATCACGACATATAAAACAAAAGTACTGTTTTTCATACACCATCATACAGTATATGTAAACCAGCAGAGAAAAAAAATCATGGCTAACATTAAATCATGTATATTTAGATAATATATGAAGAAAGAACATCTTAAGTCAGCACAGTTGCCTAGGACCCCAACAGACTAATATGGAGCACATTCAATATGAGAATGTGGTCTTATCTCCAACAAATGACTAATGCAAGTTCCTCATCCCATAATGTAATGCAGGCACCTTAACAACCTATTCATTAGGATCTGTTTTGTAATGAGGGATGTAAACAGAACACATATGGACAGAAACACATATTCCCAGAAGTGACTTCAGAGAAGTGATGGTTATGTGCTTTATATACACTAACTGGCCACTTTATTAGGTACACCTGTTCAACTGCTTGGGAACACAATTTGCTAAATCAACCAATCACATGGCACCACTTCAATGCATTTAGGCATGTAAACATGGTGAAGACGACTTGCTGAAGTTCAAACTGAGCATCAGAATGGGGAAGAAAGGCGATTTAAGTGACTTTGAAATGTGGTATGGTTGTTGGTGCCAGACAGACTGGTCTGAGTATTTCAAAAACTGCTGATCTACTGGGATTTTCACGCACAACCATCTCTAGGGTTTACAGAGAATGGTCCAAAAAGAGAAAATATCCAGTGAGTGGCAGTTGTGTGGATGAAAATGTCTTGTTGATGTTAAGAGGTCAGAGGAGAATGGGCAGAATGGTTGCTGTGACATTCAGATGCTAGGGTCAGAATTTGGCATAAACAACATGAAAACATGGATCCATCCTGCCTTGTATCAACAGTGCAATGTTTAAAGTTTACGTCAATATGCAAACTTTTTTTTCTAGTGCTGGATAAAGAAAGAAAGGATTGCACTCCTTGTCTGTTTTTTTTTTATTGCTATCTGGTGCTCAGTTTAAGAGATTTACCCTTACTTTCTATCATGTTGACAACTGTTTTACCATGGTACTGCAACAGAGACACATACAATAACATTTCTTAGGAAATCTATGTAGCTCTGTAAATCTGGTGTCAAAGGTAAACGTATTTAGAATGTTTTAAAAAAATTAACCCAAAATCAATTTACTTTGACTTTAATGTTTAAACAATAAATGCAAGAGTGACCCAAAGCATTGATATTCATTGCCTTGGGATTCATGGGAAGTAGGGTATTTTTATTTTAACTATTTTCAGAACCTTCTCGTAACCTGAGAAGTGGAGGATCGGTGTTACTCTGTCTAAACCCATTCCAGAGCAGGTATTTCATGTTTGTTATTTAAAAAACAAACAAACAAAAAAAAAAGATAAAAGTGACTTTTCAACCAGTTCCCATTAACAAAAACAATGTTTGCTTGGAACATCTGGAACTAAGGCTGGATTACTGGCCCTGCTGAAGATTGGAGTCCTAATGATGTCCTGGAATTTCCCCCAAGGTTGAGCCATTATTGTTCCATTGTGCTGAAAAAAGTCTTAACTAGTAAAACTGGATTGTTACCAAAGTATGGGTAATTCACTTACAAACCAGATATTATTCTGACAAGTGAAATTTTAATATGAAGTAGAATAAAAAAAAAATGTGTGCTGCTTGATATGATGAAATCATCTAAGAAAGAACTGGCTGATCAGGTATTTCCATCACTTTATTAAACTGTAGGTATGTACATATTGAAGCATATCTAAAGCCAAAACTTGTTGTTTGAATAGAGTGAAATAGTGTGAAAACCGCTGGCAAATTTCTATTGCTTTTAATGTTCCTGCTGGGGAGAATCACTCTGGTGACCACAGATACTAGGACAGAAAATTATGGGAAATAGAAAATTTTTGCAGGTGTCATCAGAACAGGGATAAAAGGGAAACCTATCAATCTGTACACTTGTTCCACTGAGGATTTCCTCCCACCTTTTATGCAGGCCATAGACGGTTCGTTTATCAGCCGATTTTTCATCCAAAAAAAACGAACCATCGATCGTTCTCTTGCCACCAATGATTGCGAAAATCGACCGTTTTTCGCAAATTTTCCAGTATGACCGATAAAAGAAATGAGGAGGAACCGTGAAAATCGGCCGATGCCATTGCCCCACTAACCGTGTGAAAATCGGCCGATTATTCTTTCAGACAAAAAAAAACCGGCAGATAAACCAACAGTCTATGGCCTGTATTAGTCTAGATTCACACCTAAGCATTTTGTAGAAATGCATTACAGTCCATTTAACATGATTTCCTAAGGGACACGTTCACATCTCTGCGTTTTCACCCGGTGCGTTTTTTGGAAGGGGTCAGGGACTTTTTTAAATGCAAAAGTTGAGTTTTGGTTCAATAGACTTCAATGGAGACGCTACAGAAATGCATGTAGTGCGTTTGTGACTGCATTTTGAGTTTTATTCTGCCCAACAAGTTGGCAAAACAAAAAAAAAAAAAAAAAAAAAACGCAATACACATCAAACAACCCATGTGCAAAAATGCAAAACGCACCACAAAAAGCACTGCAGAAATCAGACCAAATGCAAATTGCACAGGTGTGAACCTAGCCTAAATGGACTGTAGTGCATTTCTGCAAAATGCAAAACACACAGCAAAACGCTTAGGTGTGAACCTAGACTAAGCTACCGGTCACACCGCTGCGATTTGTGTGCAATTTCTGCGTGATTTCAGGTGCGATTTCTGAAGACTTCATTGCTACTTGTGAAGATATTTAATGATTTCTTGCAATTTGCAGTGTGATTTCCATTATATTCTATGTATGTGAAATCACAACAAAACTTCAGAAAAAGTAATGCAAGAACTACTTTAGAAATCGCGCTGCAGCAAATTGCACATGCTGAGACACCGACATTCACATTCATTAGATGTGATTTCAATTCGCAAACCACCCCTGAAATCACACCGGTATGAACGGGCACTAAACTTGAGCACACAAAATCTGGTGCAGCTGTGCATATTAGCCAAGCAGCTTATAACTTCAGCTTGTTTAATTAAGCTATGACAATAAAATGTAGAAGCCGATTGGTTAGTATACACAGCTGCACCTGATCCTTGTGATTTCTGAAAATGTGCAAGTGTCTCTTGTGGTGCAGTACAGCACATACATTTGTACAGTACAGTATTTGTAGCTGCTGTGTTAAGATTTTTTTTTCCAGGGTGAAGATCCTCTTTAACTGCTGCAGTTGAGTCTCCTCTAAGTTATTGTGCAGTGTGGATCAAGGACTGAACATAACACAAAGTAATAAACCAGCTACCTGAAACACTATAGTAGCAGGTTCACACTTCCCACCTGCTAGTTGTACAAGGATAAAACGTATGAATATTTCAATTTAATACTTAATATTTCACAAAAATAAAAAAGGTAGGTTTTTTGTTTGTTTTTGTTCAAAATAGCTAACAGGAGGATTTGAAATGGTCTGTAAATTCAAGCACCAAAATGTTATATATTGCAGCCATATTGTCATTCATTAGGTGTGGTTTTTGCATTAGCTTTGTTTTTTTTCAGACTCTCTTTCCTTTATTTTAACTTGCACTATATTGCTAAAAGTATTGTGTCACCTGCCTTTACATACACATAAACTTTAATGACATCCCAGTCTTATGCAGGCCATAGACGGGGAGAAAACCGGCCGTTTTTTTAACAAAAAAAAAACCGAAAAATCGGTCGTTCAATAGGCCGACGTTACCACCAACAGTAAAAAAAAAAAAACAAAAAAAAAAAACAAAAAAACTTGTTGTTTGAATAGAGTGAAATAGTGTGAAAACCGCTGGCAAATTTCTATTGCTTTTAATGTTCCTGCTGGGGTGAATCACTCTCCCCAGCAGCAGGAAAAAAAAAAAAAAAAAAAAAAAAAAAAAAAAAAAAAAAAAAAATCTTTTCTTCCCGTCCGGTCTGCCCTGCAGAGAGCCCCGCTATTATATTTGACATTAAAAAGTATCGTGGTTGCAATATTGTATCTATTTGTATCCATTTCAGATATAGATGTTTTTTCAGATACAAATAGATACATTGTTGCAACTGCAATACTTTTTAATGTCAAATATAATAGCGGACTGGAATTCTTCTTCTCCTTTTTCTTTCTTTCCTTCTTTTTCTTGCAGGTCACGGCTCATGCGCAGATTTTTTTATCGGTAAAAAGATCGGCCGATTTGCCCATCATTGCCACGAAAATCGTCCGATCGGCAAAATCGGCCGATTTTTTTCCAACTTTACCGATCAAAAAAATCTGACAAAATCCAGAAAAACGGCCGACCAATTAACCCATTAACGGTGCAAAAATCGGCCGATTTTTTTTCGACCCATCTATGGCCTGCATTAGTCCGTAGAGCTCATTATTGAGTTGGTCCACCCTTTGCAGCTATAACAGCTTCAACTCTTCTGGGAAGGTTGTCCACAAGGTTTAGGAGTGTGTCTATGGGAAGGTTTGACCATTCTTCCAGAAGTGCATTTGTGAGGTCAGGCACTGATGTCAGACGAGAAGGCCTAGCTCACAGTCTGCACTGGAATTCATCCCAAAGGTGTTCTATCAGGTTGAGGTTAGGACTCTGTGCAGGCCAGTCAAGTTCCTCCACCCCAAACTCACTCATCCATGTCTTTGTGGACCTTGCTTTGTGCACTGGTGCGCAGTCATGTTGGAACAGGAAGGGGCCATCCCCAAACTGTTCCAAAAGTTACAAACTTGGGAGCAGGAAAATGTCTTGGTATGCTGATGCCTTAGGAGTTTGCTTTACTGGAACTAAGGGGCCAAGCCCAACCCCCCTAAAAACAACCAAAAACCATTATCCCTCCTCCTCCAAACTTTACACTTGTCACAATGCAGTCAAGCAAGTACCGTTCTCCTGGCAACCGGCAAACCCAGACATGTTGATCTAATGCCAGACAGAGAAGCGTGATTCATCACTCCAGAGAACACGTCTCCACTGCTCTTGAGTCCAGTGGCGGTGTGCTTTACACCACTGCATCCGATGCTTTGCATTGCACTTGGTGATGCAGCTGCTCGGCCATGGACACCCATTCCATGAAGCTCTCTATGCACTGTTGTGCTAATCTGAAGGCCACATGAAGTTTGGAGTTGTTTAGCTATTTACTTCTGCGCACTGTGCACTTCAGCATGCGCTGACCTCGCTCTGACATTTTACATGGCCTACCACTTTGTGGCTGAGTTTCTGTTGCCCCAGTTGCTTCCACTTTGTCATAATACCACTAACAGTTGACCGTGGAATATTTAGCAGCAAGGAAATTTCCTGGATGAACTTATTGCACAGGTGACAACCTATCACTGTACCACGCTTGAATTCACTGAGCTCCTGGGAGTGACCCATTCTTTCACAAATGTTTGTAGAAGCAGTTTGCATGCCTAGGAGCTTGATTTCATACACCGGCGGCCATGGAGGTGATTGGAACACCTGAATCCAATGATTTGGAGGGGTGTCCCAATACTTTTAGCAATATAGTGTATTCTATAAGTTATTTTATCTACGGAGGACAGGAAATGTGTTAGGACTACACCTCCTACTCTCCTTTCCTCCATAAAAGGAAAGGAGTTCTGTAGTTCAAAGACAGCTTGGAATAATGCTAACAGAGTACAGCATAAGCACAGAACGTTAGCAGTTCAATAGGTATCTGGCAGGATCAACAAATTATTATTTTTTTTTGCAATTTATATATTTTCAATTGTATATTGAACAGACCAAAAGGGGAGCAAACGAGCAGTTCATTGTTAAGAGTCAAAAGATATTTTCTTACAATTTCCAGTTCCTGGTCAAAATCTTCACTTTCAACAAGCTTAATTAATGGTTTCAGCTTTTCCTTTAGTCGTTTACCATCCTTGGCAGGAAGGATAAACCTCAACCTCATGTGAGCACGCTCAATCTGCATGGTTTCTTTAAGCTGTTTTATGACATCCAAGGCCTGAAAAACAATGCACATGCATTTAAACACTGACAGTCTGCAGGCTACACTTTCTAAATTTTTTGCAGTTCAATTATTCTTATAAAATTTTTGAGAAAATACAAATCTATGTATTTTATGATTAGGCACAATAGGTGAGAATACAGAGCTTCATATAAAGAAAATAGCATCACAAAAGCTATATTGTAAAAGTGACTCTCTATATGAAAATATACAGAGGACTCTATAAAGTCATGGAAATTAATAATATATACAGCTCAACACACATGTGAACAAACCGCTATATATTCTGTCCTTTTACAAATGAAAGGATGAGGGCAGAGGGGGAGAAGGGAGGATGAGGAAAAGGTAATGGAACAAAAATGGAATGGAATTAAAGAAAGAGGAAACGGAAACAGGTCATTAAAGCTCATACACAGTGTGTTTAAAAGATCTGTGTCAAAGTCTGACTGAAGGAAGTGCATGGTCCAGGGGTACCAATTTGCCATGTGTATATCCATTTGGTAAAAGACTCTATCTTCAATTTTCTCACATACCTGAGTGATTCTTGACTTTCATGGATTTACAGCTGTCTGCAATAGTACCTTAAGGAGACCAGGTGGTCGCATGTTCAAAGGCACATACTCGGGGTGCAGGAGATCCAAGCCCCAAACAACTTGGTCAATATACAAAAATCCTCTGCCCACAATTGCTGAACCATGGGGCATGTCCGCCAAACATGATAGGAAGTTCCCCGTTGATTGCAATACTGCAAGTACGCAACCTAGTAATCAATCTCAGCTGCCAGTACACAAGCTGGCTTTGGTGTTGGTCCAGATATAGGACCAATCTTCCTCAGTTACATCTACACCTATGTCCACCTGACTTCCTGTGTACCTCTCTATTGCTACAGTCACTGGTCTCTGAGCCTGTCCCCAGACCAGGACTACTTTTATTAGTGGTGTGTAATTGTATGTGGCTGATCACAGTCTTACCAGGAGATCAGGAGTCCATTATCAAACAAAAGGGGTATTTACTAGTACAAATAACAGCTATGTGTACAAAGTTTTTTTCCTCCATTAGTCAACTGAATGATAGATGCAAATGCACATATATACCTAAAATGTAAAGATCTATGCATTAGCTGAATTCAGCGACACCTGAAATTACTGTATCGCTGTACTTTAGAAAACTAATGCCATTGCATATGGACCTTTTGTAAAATGTGTGCCTAGGTGACATGATCTATCTAATGTAAGAATACAGTACATGCAGGAATAGCTAGCTGCTAATGTTCTGTTTACATTGTTACCTTACTGCACCCCCCCCAAAACCTTTTTAGCATGCTGAAAAAACAATGAAAAACCAGCAGAGTTACAGGGATAGCAACAAAGCAACAGAACAATATCTGGCTAAGAGTGCTGTCCTTCTCTTTCACTATCTGAGGGCTGCTGTGTATGGGTTCAGCGGAATTTAATATAATGAGAAAACACTGTATTAATACGGGCTGTAATTTAAAATGTATTTAATCATTCTTTAAGGAATATATTACAAGAACAAATAATGCTTTGTCATTTGCTTGGAGTTCTCTTTTACGTAACAGTGTTTCACTTGCCTGTTGTTTTGTGCTCTTTGTAGCTTTAACTGAATAATGGATGTCTTTCATTGCTCTTTCAATGAGGTTCACAGTATATGGCCTCTTTGTCTCTGGATTAACACATTTGTCAGCCACAATGGTTGCAATATCCCGAAACATTTGCTCTAGTTGTGTACTCCGCTCTTTTTCAGATACCTGAAGCTCCCCCTTTGACAAAATCTGTAGCAAAAAAAGAAGACCAAAGTTAAAAGTAAAATGTTTGATGAATATATCACACATAAAACATTTAACACCATCCGGCCATTACAGTATATTCAAATAATCCATTTAAACTGTACTAAAAAAGGTGTTAATACTTACCTTCAGTTCTGCTTTAAATGCTCATTTACACCACAATCTGTGTTCATTGTGGGGGAGATTTACTAAAACTGGAGAGTGCAAAATCTGGTGCAGCGCTGCAAAGAAATCAATTCGTTTCCAGGATTTGTCAAAGCTTGAACAAGCTGAAGTTAGACGCTGATTGGCTGACATTCACAGCTGCACTGGATTCTGAGTGCTCCAGTTTTAGGAAAATCTCCCCTCGTGTTTCTATATGTATGTTTTCATGCATTTCCAGTGTGATTTTTGAAATAATGTTTTAATTTATTTCAATGTATTTTCTTTACTAAGCTGTGTTTAAGTAAATGTTTGCGAGTGTTTGCAGTGCGTTCCAGTGCGGAAAAATGCAACAAGCTGTATTTTTTTTAAACACATGAAAGCACTGTAATGTCAACTATGCCCATTGGAATGCATTCATTTTTCTTGAACATGCATTTGTGCTACATTTAAAAACGTACCTGACTGCATGTGGTGTACATGAGCCCTAAAAACAAGTTTTATAGATCTTCAGTACTTTTCCTAAACAGCAGTCCTATAAATCCAGCTGTAAACATGCCCAATGCCCATAATGAGTGTAGCACAAATTGGGGATACCACTACTGAACCCGTATGAGTGCGGTATAGAGGAGGAAAGGGTTACTGCTGTTTACACTTTGGTTGGGGATATTAACGCTAACTTAGAAACATAGAAGAGTGATGGCAGAGACCCACGGAGAGGGCCACTGAGTCTGCCCCCCCCTTTTCATTTATACATTTTTTAATTTTTTTGTCTGAGTATAGATCTAGGTTTGTCCCAAGCATGTTTGAATCTACTTACTGTTGACTGACTCAATAACTCTACTGGAAGTCTATTTCAAGCATCAACTACTCTTCCAGCAAACTACTGGGGTTTATTCACTAAAACTGGAGAGCGCAAAATCTGGTGCAGCTCTGCATAGAAACCAATCAGATTCCAGTTTTTATTGTCAAAGCTTAATTGAACAAACTGAAGTTAGAAACTGATTGGCTACCATGGATAGCTGCCCCAGATTCTGACTGCACCAGTTTTAGTAAATCTCCCCCATTACTTCCTAAGATTAGTTTTGAACTTTCCATGGAAGCACATAGAGGAGTGACGAGAGAAAAATTACCAGGTAGTCCATCAAGTCTGCCACCCCCCCCCTTTTTTAATATTTATACATGTTCCTATTAATTTGTGAATGCAAAGTATGAAAAAACCAAACATTTTACAGTTCTCATTGGAATGGGGGGAGGGGAAATCGTCTGATTGAGAAATTTAACTCAGGCAAAAGTGTCAAATGTGGAATTTCCACTCATTTTGGGAACATTTGCTCTCTCTTCCAAATGTACCTCCAAGACAGGGAGTGAGGAAAAAAAACTTACCAATGGGCTGATAGAGCAATAAAAAAATAAAAATTTGCAATTCCTTGAATTTTTTGCTAGCGTTCAAGAGAGAATAACAGTCACCAATGGCCATGTAATATTCAAAATATAAACATCAGAGTAATTAAAACATACCACATTCTATTAACTAGCAGAGCTTATTTTTTTGTTATTTATTTATATTCCCTCCTTGTCCCAGGATGCCTCTACAGTTCGGTTATATCTCCATGTTGGGTTCTAACGAATAACAAAAATGTTTGTATAAAAAGATCCTGTAGAGCAGCCTTTTTTTCAGGGGTGCCTTAGCACAACGTCTGTATACAAGCCAGTGGATGAATGAAACTTGCCTTTTACTTAACCCACGGTCACATCAAAGCCGATTTTGAAATCGTGCGATTTACAGTGAAGTCGCACAATTTCAAAATCGGGTGAGCTGCCGATTTCAGTTGCAATTTGCAAGACATCTGACACAGAGGTCTATGCAAATCGCAACAAAAGTAGTGCATGCACTACTTTAGAAATCGGTGCGGCTCTAATAGCGGACAATAGAGTGCGACTTGGCATACGATTTGCAAGTCACATGGCATGCAAATCGCATGTCAAGTCGCACCCAATGTGACTGGGGTGTTAAAAGGTTTTCATTGTGCACCATTACAACCTTCCAGCCACCAGTCCATACCAACAACCAATGAAATCATGTCACCGGTTGATAAGGAAGACATCGAGCGCTTGCACAGCGTTCTTGTTTGCCCCTCTCTAAGTCAGTACCAGTGTGCAAAGGTGTATTTGCTCTGGAAGAATAAATCCCCTCTAATGTTGGGTGTCATAGGTGTGTGGATGTTGCTGCATTATGTAAAACTATTAGCTTAGTTTTTTACTTTTAGAATGGGGTGCCTTGAGATTGTGCATCATTTTAAAGAGTGTCTTGGCTGAAGAAAAAAAAAAAAAAGGTTAAAAAATATTGCTGTAAAGATTACAGAAACTGAATTTGTTTTTGCCTTTCGGCAACCTTGACAGAGTGTTGCTTACCAGCTCAGCTCAAGGCAGAAAACAGATCGGCCTGTATGATAATTCTACAGTCTAACCCTAGACCCTGGCATTTATACCTTGACAGAGAGAACATGCTACTAAATATCATGTGATTTGATGCTTACATGGGAGACAGTGGACAAGACGTATGTGCATCTTGGGAAGGGAAGAAGTTTTATTTTCACTTTGAAGAATAGCATGTATGATTTGCCAGTGTCCTTGCTGAACTTACTATCATATGAGTGAGCCTGCCTATACTTGAATCACATATCCATTCTCAACGTTTTATCTGTAGCCCCAGCACCCCTTTAGCTGTGCTGGGCTAAAAGTATCTTATCAATTATTTACCTCTTACTCCAGAGGATGACTTCTGGGCAAAAAGCAGTGTGCCAAGATTTGAAAAGGGGGAATCATATCTGGAAAGTCCTGTACACATAGTACTGTGGCCAGTATTTGTAAAGAGGTGTGGCCAGAGTTTTAGAAAATTATAGCTGCTTTCAGATTAACCACTTCCCGCTGCTGTCTCCTAGCCCTTTAAAAAGGTCCTAAATGCTGGGAGGTGGAGGCATGCATTCTGATCATGTGACTGCTGTGATTGGCAGTCACAGTGGTCACACGGTTAGAAAGCTTCCAATCGCAAGTAGGCATTGGAAGCTTTCTGGTACCCACCGGTAACTGCTGGGAGCACGCAGAGCATGCGCTCTGAGCACAGAAATGTTTAGGTATATAACGTGGCCTCTCTGTGTTAAAGCCCACCCCATGAAAGGCTGCATAAATGCGTATGGCTGGTGGAAAGAGGAAATAAAAAGATAACTTTTAATAGCAAAAAAGTACAAAATGCCCTGGGTAGCAATTATGTACAAAGTTTTTCCTTTAACTGGCACAATTTTAATACCTGCTTGCAGATCTCTGTCTGATCCTCTGTTCCAAATGCTTTGACCAGATCCTCTTTCTTGGCTACTTGACCTTTGGACACATTCATGAACACAGAGTGCGTCTGTAAGACTTCATCTATATCTTTCTCCCTATGACCAAAAAGAACAAGAAAAAAACATTTCATTACCTAAATAATGTAAATGCAATTATTTCCATATGGCTGGTATTGCACATTTAAGCAGATGGCCGAGAACTATCCAGACCTTAGGCTAGCGCTAAAAAAAAAAAAAAAAAAAAAAAAGACACATATAACAATTTATTCCAAAATATAAATTTTATTAGACAAATCCAGCTAAAATGTAACTAAAGGCATAGAGTAAGGAATGGTTATAAAACGCATCAGTTTTGTTCTTGCCATCTGTGTCCTATTGGGGAGATTTCCCTTCATTTCCTGTACCATAGCCAAAACAGGAAGTGAGAGGAAATCCCTCCAAAGTGAGTGAATCCTGCTGTGTCACCAGAACTAATGTCCCCATTGAAAAATTTCCCCTCCATTAGTGTTCTGATGTCAACCCAAAATTTGGGATTTTCTTTTAACTTTCGCTTTTGATGATAATGGTAAACAGCAGAAATAGAGAAGGTGAATCTCCCTAAAGGGGACACAGACAGCAATAAAAACCTGACAGGTGTAATTATCCCCCGCCATCCAAAACTATATAAAAGAAAAAAAAGAAAAGGGGTTTTTTTTGCTTTTTTTTTTAAACAGTGAAGTTTGAGTTTTCCATGAAAGGACAGTACAATAATAATCTCAATAACATACAAAGAAAACAAACATAACACAAAGCTGGCAAAAGATGGGAGATAAGAAAATACATATCATAAGAAATATCTCCTGGATACATATAAAACCTGTTGTCACCTATAGGGTCGATGTCCATAGAATTTAGGGTAAAAGTAACATCCCTGGTGTAGCTAAAAACCTAGTATGGTACATACCATGGGCCCTTGCATGACACAACAGTAAAATCAACCCAAAAAATGGCCGTATGAGCTGCAGATTTAGTAACAGGAGGCCTCCAGCATTGAGGCAGACAGTAAAAAGAGAGAAGGGAATGCAGGAAAGGAGGGGGAGGGTAAGGGAAATGAGAATATAGTACTTCAGATTATCAGATCCCAGGCCCTTATCCATGCCGACCAAATTTTATGGAATTTTTTAGGGCAGTTACGGCCTAGATATATAAATTTGTATAATGGAAGAACATTATTGATCAGGGTACGCCACTGGGCTATCATAGGAGGGTCTGGCACTTTCCACTTAAGCAGAATAGCTTTTCTTGCATAATGCAAGGAATAAAACAAATAGTTTAGTATGATGTGTGGTGGAAAGTGTGTCACATATCCCCAATACCAGCATTAGTGGATCCATAGATATTGTCAAGCCACTTACCGCACCTACTTCGGACGCTACTGCCCCACATAAAAGTTGCGGTTAAGGGCAGGACCAAATCACTTGGGGCAGGTAGGATCTGCTGTATCGTAAATAGAAGTAAGCCTCTGGGGGGAATAATACAGGAGTTTTAGTTGGATCCATCTATCCTTTGCTGATACCATAAGAGGGAGGTATTTTTGAATGCCCTCTTCCCAGTCCCCGTTTGTCAGAGTAGGTAAATCCCCATACCAAATATCCCATAAGAGAGAAACTCCGGAAAAATCAAATTGGGAGATACAGTGGTAGAGGGCCGATAGCAGTTTGTCCAGTTGTTTGTTGGTGGACAAGAGTGACTCCACTTGATGCGATATCAACTACAGGGGAAAGGTAAATTGGGTTTGGGTAGCATGTCTGAGCTGTAAGTAGCGGAAAAACATTTAATTAGGCAACTGGTAAGTGGCTTTAAGTCCATCAAAGGACAATAGGTACCCCCCTGATATTATGTCCCGGAGTGTTTTCATGTCATATTGCGCCCAGACAATTGGATCTGGGATAGAGTAGAAATGTTGCAGTCTGAGAATACCCCATAGTGGAGTGTGTGGAGACCATGGCCTTGAACCCTCCATATAATCCTCCACACATTTAGACTGGTTTTCATGGGTTCAGTGACTTCAGGATTAGAGCGGGTCCCGAAAATACTAAACTGCTCAGTTCAGAGTAAAAGCAAAGAAAAGCCGCCTCCAAGTCTACAGCCGGGTTGTCCGGCATCTGCGAGAGCCACCACGTCACAGACACTAAGACTGCAGCTCAGCAATACTTTTGAAAACAGGGGAGAGCTAAGCCCCCCAGGGAGGTAGGCAACTGGCGGGATGATTTAGCCACTCGGGGGACACTGCCAGCCCAGATAAAGGATGTGATGAGTTGACCTAATTTCATAAAAAAGGACTTAGGGATTGGGACCAAGGTTTTTCTAAATATATATATAAAAATTTAGGCAGGTAGGTAATTCGAAGTAAATTAACCCTGTCCACTGGGGTCAATGGGCGGAACTTCCACACAGCACATCTGAGTTAATTTAGAAAGGATCAGATAAAGATTATCTATCAAGTACGCTGATAGGTCTCTCTGAACTCCTATCACCAGGTATTTAAATTGGGACACCCATTGTAGCAGAGCCACTGGAGTCGTAGGGGTTTCCCCCGGCTCCAGAAAGAATAGGACGGATTTGTCCCAATTCACTCTGACACCAGAGAAGAAGCTTAACCCGTCAATTAGCTCCAGAGAAGTCGGTAGAGCTGAAGAGGCATCTCTCAGATAAAGTAAAGTGTCATTGGCATAAAGTGAGATCTTCTCTTCCAATGGCCCCCCTAATTACAGTAAAGGAAATAAGTATTAATCCCCTGCTGATTTTGAATGTTTTCCCACTCACAAAGAAATGATCAGTCTAAAAATCGAATGGTAGGTGTATTGTAACACAGAGACAGAATAGCAACAAAAAAAATCAAAAGAAATGCATGTCTAACAAATTATGCACTGATTTGCATATTCATGACAGAAATAAGTATTTGATCCCCTTCACAAAACATGACTTAGTACTTGGTGGCAAATCCCTTGTTGGCTGACGTTTGGCAACTTGAACTTTCAGCTCCCTTCACAGATTTTCAATCGGATCAAGGTCTGGAGACTGGCAAGGCAACTCCAGGACCTTAATGTGCTTCTTTTTGAGCCACTCCTTTGTTGCCTTAGCCATATATTGCAGTACAGGTCTCTCTTTTTCCTTTTTGTTTTTCCTCTCTCTTTCGTTTTTTGTTTTAGTAATAGTTGTTTTATGTATAATGTTATTTTAAATGAATGATAGATCAACAGTTTGATGGGCGAGTTGCTATTCAGAGGTTAGGGTAGGGAAGTCTATGTCCACCAGGTAATTATTAACTGCATCCTCAGTATATTGGATTCTAGAGGAGTATAATGCAGGCCATAGACGGGGAGAAAAACAGCCGATTTTTCTTTTAAAAAACGAAAAGTCGGTCGTTCAAGCGCCGACGTTTCCACCGATGGTAAAAAAAAAAAAAAAAAAAAAAAAAAAAAAAAAATCGGCCAATTTTCATCCCGTCTACAGCCGGCAAGAAGTGTCCCTGCAGAGAGCTCTGCTATTTCTTTGACAGTTCTTTGACAGTTCCTTGACATTTACAGAGGTTGCAACAATGTATCTATTTGTATCCATTTAGGATACAGATGTTTTTATTCGGAAACAAATAGATACAATGTTGCAACCTCTGTAAATGTCAAGGAACTGTCAAAGAACTGTCAAAGAAATAGCGGAGCTCTCTGCAGGCACACTTTTTGCCGGACTGGAATTCCTCTTATTTTTCATCCTTCTCCTTCATCATCCTCCTCCTCTTCTTCATCAGCATCCTCTTCTTCATCAGCATCCTCTTCTTCATCAGCATCCTCTTCTTCATCAGCATCATCCTCTTCATCAGCATTCTTTCTCATCATCATCATCACTCCTCTTCTTCTTCATCCTCCTCTTCTTCTTCATCATCATCCTCATCTCTCTCTTCATAATCATCCTCTTCTTCTACTTCATCATCATCCTCTTCTTCTACTTCTTCTTCATCATCCTCTTCTTCATCATCCTCCTCTTCTTCTACTACTACTATCTCATCATCATCTTCATCATCATCATCTTCATCATCTTCTTCATCATCATCTTCTTCATCATCATCATCCTCTTCATCATCATCATCATCCTCTCATCATCATCTTCTTCCTCTCTTCTTTTTGTCTTCCTCTTGCAGGTCACTGCTCATGCGCAGATTTTTTATCGGTAAAAAATCAGCCGATTTGCCCATTATTGCCACGAAAATCGGCCGATCGGCAAAATCTGCCGATTTTTTCCCAACTTTACCGATAAAAAAAAACGGCCAAAATACCGAAAAACGGCCGAACAAATAGCCCACTAACGATCCGAAAATCGGCCGATTTTTGACCCATCTATGGCCTGCATAACTCACTGTAAAAGTTAGCAAATCTAGCATTAATTTGCACGTGGTTAGTTAGCAGGGTGGAAGGCATACTATGGAAGGCACTTTGGTCTGTTCTTTAGAGAGCCAGGCCAATTGGTGTCCAGTTTTATCACCTTGCTCAAATATGCGCTGCATCTGATGTAACTGCTGCTTTTTTGCATTTTCAACTTTAAGAAGCCTAACTTCCCGGTATGCTACCTAATGGGGTTACGAGTCACCACATATTGCTGTTCAAGGGTAGATGCTCTAAGTTCAAGAGAATCAATAGTATGCGTACTAAGTCTCCGGGCTGTAGAGATCAAGGTTTGGTATTGCCCTCGGACATAGGCCTTAAAAGGCATCCTAGAGCCTAGACCACCTCGGCCAGCCACAGCCTCCACTTTTTCATCTGAAATCCAGTAGCTGGATCGTCGCCACACTCTACACTGGAGCGTGGTCTGAGATATTCCTCGGGAGTATGTATACCTCCCGCACTTTAGCCAACAATTCAGAAGACACATATATAAGATCTATGCAAGTGTTAAAGGTGGAAGATAAACAGGCATACTGCCTATCAACTGGGAGTTTCCATTGCCAGGCATCCTGGAGCCCATACAGTGCAGCCCACTTAGACACGCTAGTGGTGTCTGGAGTCCGTTTATCCATGGCAGAAGAAGGTGGAAAAGTTTTGCCTTCAGTTATACTTTAAAAA